TGTCTTTTGTTTTCAAGTACGACAAGATTAGCCAAAAAAATCACCCTAGATCTCTACTGACATTGTTTCTATATGGTTAAGAGACCACTTACCACCCTCAACGAATAGTCTGAAGTTTGAGCTTTTATAAGACATTTTTGTTTTCTCAGTTTGCATTATTGAAAATATTCTCTTTTTGGTACATTCTAAAATATGAACTGCCTTTTTACCAATATTAGTGTTTTTCCATTGGATAGTGGATGTGGTGTGGTGAGTTCACCCTGCCATGTGTTGTAAACATTCCCTTCGATAATACTTCAGAGTTTTAGATTGCAAACTTTTTTTCCCCTGTGCTTTTTGTTTCTGTAAGTTTGCATGAGGAAGATGCATTGATTCCAGATTGAGGGACACTGTGTTGAGGAGCTAATTAGACCTTTTTTTTTTTTTGAATGCATTGATGCAGTGGATTTAATGAAGGAGGGCACTACTTTAATAGTGAGAAATGCTAAAATTGACATGTTTAAGGGGTCGATGAGGCTTGCAGTGGACAAGTGGGGACGCATTGAAGAGGCAGAGCCAGCGGATTTCACCGTTAAAGAAGACAACAACCTTTCGCTCATTGAATATGAGTTGGTCAATGTTCACGAGAAATAATTATCTGGGGAATTTTTTTCTTTTCAAGATCTCTGGGGCCACCTCATATGAATCTGGCAAGAAATCTCACTATGACTGAAGTTTTCATTTAGGAAGACAAAAAATGTTATGGATAAAAATTATATTGAAAGAGGTTTCAGTGTGGCTTACTACTACTTCTAAGCACAACTGCTCGGCCACCAGCGTTGCAATAAATGAAGTATGTCAAGGCATGGAATGCTCAGATTTGAGTGTTTACATACATATAATGTAATGCAGCATAAATTGGATTCGAGAGATTTTGGCAATGTAGTTCCTTGGTGGTTTGATTGAAGTGCTATGTTAATTTGAAGTTTATGATCTGATTGCTCAATTTTTTAGTAAATCTTAAATTCAAACATTTTCACTAGTGTTGGCTCCTTCTGGTGCAGTATGACAGGGGTTTTCCACCGCACTGCTTTAGGTTTTTTCTCTTGTCGTTTTGAACATTTTAAAAATGAAATCTATCATTTTTTCATGTTTGCAAAATGTATTAGTGTGACAGTGTTTCAAATTTCTCAAATACTGCAGATTCAAGAAAATCCGATCACTGTAGTGAGTAGCCTCCAAACCGCAGTTTTGCACTGCATTTGCATAGCATGCACTGATGCACACAGCCTTCACTCTAACCAAAACACTTGGCATTTAGACTCACATCATTAGGCAACTCAATTCTCAAATTGTCTTGTGGGGGGGGGGGGGGGGGGGGGGGTCTATGGCTTTGTGTTTGGATTGGTGCCCATTGTCGTGAGAAAGAAATGACTTTAATTAAATTTTTGTTTTTAGTCGCCAAAACTTAACCGGATCTTCGCCCGGGAAGATAACCGGAGTATAATGGGGTCGTCTAGTTGCACTAGGCATTGCTTCCACCAATGTGTGTATCCCTCTCACATGCTTTTCCAACTATGGCCGCAAGGTTGCAAGCCTGGAAGACTCCCCCCTTCATTTTTGCAGCCCTTTGCTCATGAGGCATGACGATGGAACTTGGCTGTTCAGCTTTTTTTTTTTTTTAATTTTTTTTTAAAGGTCTAGCTGCTTTCTAGTTACTTATGATCACTTTAGGAAGAGTGCCTATGAATTTGGGACTATTTTAAGATTAAGTATATTGGATATTAATATTAGAATTATTCATGTAAAATTTTCATGAATATAATTGATCAAGGAATCTAACAAATAGAAAAACTCACTTTTAACAAACCATCTATCCAAAGATTCAGCTATTTCTACTTGCGTTAATGGCCAGTAATTGGCCACGCAATACTTTTTGCCACTCAGCTAAGCTTCACTGGGTATGGATTGTTTGACAATAGCCAAATTTATTTAATTTTCTTAAAGAATCACTTTCCACACCATAGACAGGAACTTTGCCGCACTGGAGAAATGCTAATGTTGGTAGAAAGAATCACTTATTAAGGGTTGGTTGGCAAAAGCCAAATCTATTTAATTTTATTGAAGAACAAAACATTTGGTAAAACCTATTTTGGTTAAATAAACTTCTTTGCTTATTTTTTTTCTCATATACTGAATTGGCCGCCTCAGAAATTATCTGGCTTAAGTTTTTTCCCATTTAGGTTATGTTTGACACAAAAAAGTCTATAGCTTTTAGCTTCTCTATTATTTTAAAAGTCTCTAAATAATTAAAAAGTCTAGGTTGTGTGTTTGGCCCGTTAACTTATTTGAGAAGTCCGTATCTTTTACTAGACGCTAGGGAGGGTAGCGTTCAACAGGAAGATCTTTTCAGTTTTTTTATGCTTCCTCGTATAACCTTGCGTCCCCACCCCTTCATGACTTCATCTTTTCCGGTTTAAAATTTGCTTCACCATTAATATCCCAAAGTCTGCCATCTGCAGCTACGTTCCAATTTTCTTCATTGTTCTGGGTCTCTTTCTTAAACGCTTCCAGCCATCTATGTTTTTCGCAGATGTGCTTCTTGATTTTTATTGAGTTTTGTTTAACAATTTGTAGCCAAAATTTGTGTGATATTCAAGCTTGGTAAAAATTGTACTCGAAATTGGTTTTAGGTTTGAACTTAATTATTTAATCTACTCCGTATGTTTTTTGGAATTGAAATATATTTCTTGATTTTATTCTTTTATTGAGTATTATCAACAAATACCTTGCCAGCTTTTTGGGTTTTTATTTGATCAATGTCCAGGTTCTATCCATTCATTATAGTGCTGATATTTTAGGGTAATAGTTGTTTTCCCTCATTTTTTCCTGCTTCTTTGGTTAAATACTTCAATACAATGGCCGTATGTTGTTGTATTTTTCACTTCTTTGATTATTATTTTTATTTGATCAATGTCCATGTTTTATTCATTCATTATAGTGTTGATATTACTAGTTTTCTGTCTTTATTTCTCTGGTTTTCCTTGGGTATTTGTCTATTTTTCACTTCTGTTTTTTTCCTCAATTTTTTGTTGTAATTATTTTTTGTGCCGAGTTTTTACCAAGTTTTATTGATGTTATCACCTAATATTTTGCTACTTTTAGTTTCATTTTTCTTTTTGTGTGTGTCAGCTGTTTTGTTATTACCATATGGTTCTTTTACTTGTTTTTATATGTTCCAGTTTTTTCCAGTTTCTTTGTGTACATGTTTTTTGCTTTTTTACCATGTTTTTGTGCAATGCACATCACCAACTCAAAGCACGAAAAATACTGGTTTTTGCTGTGAAATTAGCTATGTGTATATTCTATTAGCTCATAAATTAATAATATTTGATCAGGTCCTTAATTGTCATTCTATAGTTTCAGCTACTTATAACAGCTAGTTTTGCCAAACATGACTATTTAAAACAGACGACTTTCATTAAACAGCTACGATCTTTTCCATCTGCAAGCTTTTCAGCTCAAAAAAGCTAACAGTTACTATAAAGTCTAAAAAAGATCTTTTCAGCTTGTCATTCCAAACATAGCCTTAGACTTGTTTCTTTTTTAGAGTCCGTTTCGTAACACTGAAATCAACTAAACCGACGGGTTTTAGTAAAATTGGTGTGCAGTCCTAACTAAAGTTGGTGTATTGACTAAATTATGAAAAAGTTATATTTAGGGGGGTGTATTCAATTGGGACATTTTAAGACATTTTAAGACTTTTTGGGACTAGGATTTGGCAGGACTTCACAACAAAATACACTAACAAATCTTATTATCAAATCTCACCTATATACGTGAGATTTGGGGAGACTGGTCACGGAAAGCCAAAAATTGCTCTTCAACCATTTTTTCTAGCACGAGAAACCTCCGTGTCAGCCTATTTTGTTCCCAGCCAAAAGAGACCGGAGCAACCATCGTTTTCCAAGCTTTTCTCCCCGTCATGTTTCCTGTAAGGCCAAATATTTTGAATTTATCGAATCGTATGAAAAGCTTGACCTCATTATCTCATCTGCCTATATCCCATTGAAATGGGTCAAACACTAGGAAGTGCTACTCATAGAAAGGAGCCACTGAACTTTGTATAGAAGAGTCTTTTAAAATGTCTTGAAATGTCTCACACAATTTTGGATTGTCTAGAAAAGTCTTCTAGAATCCTATATGAATACAAATCTCCAATTGTTTCAAAATGTCCCAATTGAATACACCACCCTTAATATATATTTCTAAATAAAATAGAGTAAAGACTAAAGAATAATATATATGACCCTCAACAGTATCTTCAACCAATTCAAGCAAAAAAGTAACTTAACACGACTTTACTTATTTTTGTTATTACATAATTCAGAACACAAAATCAAAAGTTATTTTTAATAAAAAAAAATTCTGATAAGCCGAAAAATGAGGTCCCCAATCAGGCTCTCAGAGTAATCCAGGCTAGACCTGGACTCGGGCCGGGCGGCCCGGCCCGGTTACTGTGAGGCCCGGCCCGGACCGGAGCCCGGTGGGCCCACCGGTTCGGTTCGGCCCGGCCCGGCTGCTGGGCGGTTCGGGCTCGGGCCGAGGTTTTGGCGAACCGGCCCGGCCGGTTCGGGCCCGGTTCGGTTCGATTTTTAATTTTTTTTTTTTTTTGAATTTTTTTTAAGTTTTGGGTTGGATTAGGTATTTTGGGCCATTTGAGGTGGTTTGGGGTAGTTTGGGGTTGAGGGGGAGGGGTTGGGGGTTAAATAGAAGAGCCAAAAAAGAAAAAAAAAATATTTCCGGGTAGGCCCGGCCCGTCCCGGCCCGGTTTGGCCCGGAACCGGAACCGGAACCGCCCACCGGCGGTTCGGGCCCAGGCCCAACTATCCTGGCCCGAGGCCCGGCCGGGCCCAGGCCTGAACCGGGCCCGAACCGGCCCGAGTCCAGGTCTAATCCAGGCCATACATAAGTGAACCAAACTAGATTTAGAAAATAATGAAATAGACATATGTCAGACATTTACCACACTTAACCAGACTATAAAATCTTAATCCAAGTGAAAATATCCTTACAATGGTTATGAACAACTAACATGTACTACGTATCTTATTTGAACTACAATGGGTGGTACCTAAAAGTTTTCTTTCCAGAAAATAAATCTTCCAGTACAAAAAAAAAAGATTCAAAGGCAAACTAGCCCAAAACCAAACGGGGGCCCTCAAAGTAGAATTGCTTCTTAGCAGTTGACTGGAGCATATCCGAAAATTCCGAATTGAGGAGGAACAAAGTTTTTTGCCAAGAACCAATGACTGTCCATTTGATAATTGACCTTTCAAACATTCAAATCGATCATATCATGGTTCATGCTAACAACCTTATGGAAAGCTATTGAAAACCAAATGGGCGTAACTTGATTCTCAAGAAGCAGAACTAAATATTAAAATCCTGGATAAGAGGATCCATCTCAACAGTCTTCAATTCTTCATACAGATCGCTCAACAATTATGGAGTACAAATTCTTGCTCAAATTCACTCATGAAAACCATTGCTTTTCTTAAAATGAGTGTCTTCTTACATCTTGAGCTCAAGTAAAGATCTACTAAAAATTGAGAAAAATTCCGAGAGAACCCAAAGACAGGAACACCTGTCAAGGTTTGTCCTCAGGAGGCATCTCAACTTTGATGTCATGATATCTATATATTAACTTCACTCAGAGCAAGGACTTTGCCATGTAGATAAAACGGAGATAAGACCTCGTAATTGATCAATGAGAAGCTTAATGTATGCATTCTTCTGGACAAGTTCCTGCATTTGAAAAGAAGAGCAATTTCAGATTATAGAGCAACACAAAGGGAAAATAGATGCAATCATAGATTTTAAATAATCAAGGATAAATATACAAAAAACACTCATGTGTAATTCTTGTTATACCTCTTTTGAGACTCATGAGCTTAATCAGTAAATACTACTCAGTACTAGTAGTATATTATCTCACAGGGTAAGTATAATTTGTTTTAAATGAACTTAAAACAGATGCCGTTTTACCACACCAATAGATTATTGGAGTACTTATGAATTATTTCAAAATTAAGGAGTATTGCACCTACTCAAACATTTCACCACCTTCAACATATTTAGTCATTATAGGCCTTGCCAAACTGGCAGACGTATAATTGGTGTTATAACTATTACGGGTTAGTGTACCTTTTTTAGATTCGAGGCTTTCTCTTCCAATCCTTCAACACCAGATTCATCTACTGGAGATGCTGTACTGGATTCAAATGCTTTCGCCTATTTGCGGAGAAAAATAGAGGTATATAACTTAGCAACATGTTTATATTAACGTCAATAGCAGAGAATTAGATGTTTACCTCCTGTGAATTTGGAATGGCAGCAAGTACCTCACGAAGAGCAGCAATGGAATTTTTATACCGAAATCGAGCTTCCTCCAGAGCTCCATTACCTAGACCAGCACCGACACCACCTGAAACGGATCCTTCAGAGGCAGAATCGCCATTTCCCACGCCGTTCTGTGAGAGGGCATTGGTATTAGCAGAAGCAGTTGGAGAAATTGTACTGTTGCTAGGAGAAGTAATAGACCATAAAGAAGGGTTACAAAGCTCGTCGTTCATTGAAGAGAGAATCTGATATGCGGCTTCGATCGTTTCTTCTAGATGTTTCTGTCCCTCCATTGCTAGCTCTTGTGTCGTTTTGCCGTCCGTCGCTGCGGTGTCTTCCATTTCCGATCACCGGATTCCTGAACCACAAAAACCCTAATTTTGGATGCTGATGAGTAGGGAGATTTTTTTTTTTTTTATCGTGAGTAGGGAGATTATTTAAATCGGTACCAATATATTTTGCTACAATTTTGAACCATTATTGCAATCAAATACTCCGCAATTGCCATCTCAATTTTCTTTTTCGAATGTCCAAATTGAACGTTTTGCCCGTCCGTCTCATGATAAAAACATGTGTAGCCAATAATGTTGGTTTTAACATTAAACACATATCATAGATTAGAAAGAATTTCCAAAAAATGAATATAGACATGTACCTAGTAAAATTTACTCTCTTCGCCCCTTAAAAGTTTATCAACTTTTCGTTTTTAATTGTCTCATTAACGTTGTCATTTTTCCTTTAAATTGAAGATTTTATGGTTTTAGTTAATTCTCTTTTCTGTGCACAAATCTGAACCACACAATTTTTACCTTATTAATTCTTGTGCCGGTGAAACTTGACAAAGAAGTTTTAAGGGACCGAGAGAGTATCGTTTTTCATTTTTTATTCAAGTGTTATCATTTTGCTATTTAATCAATTAATCTGCATAGTGTTTCTCTTCTTTCAATTAATCATACAATTTATTGGGGAAAATTCCTTAATATTAGCTCGGCCCAAAGAAATCACAAGAAACTGATCCAATTAGATTTTGGACTTCAAAGTGAGTAACACGGCTCACAATTTTGTGAATAAAGCCTAACTTACTAAATGACGTGTCATCCAAACAAAATAGGAAACCAACGATAATTTGGAATAGTGATTCACCGAATTAGCTTCTTTCCGCTTCGAGTTTCATACTCTCTTCGAACGCAACCTTGAGAATTTTACGCAGGTGATATCGAGGTTTTTGCAGCTGATATGGAGGTTTAGAGAGAATTTTATGTCACTGTAGCCGCCGCTCGTGTCACTGTAGCCGCCGCTCATGTCACTGTAGCCACCGCCCGTGTCACTATAGCCACCGCCCATGTCACTGTAGCCACCGCCCGTGTCACTGTAGCCACCGCCCGTATCACTGTAGCCACCGCCTGTGTCACTATCGCCACCGCCGTGTCACTGCGACCACCGCCCGTGTCACTGCGACCACCGCCTGTGTCACTGCGACCACCGCCCGTGTCACTGCGATCACCGCCCGTGTCACTGCGATCACCGCCCGTGTCACTGCGACCACCGTCCGTGTCACTGTCGCCGTCGATCACAATGACGCCGCCACAGTGATGCCGCCGTCGCCCAGAGACTGCCGCCGGCTATAGTGACACTGACAAAAGTGACACTGACAAAAGTGACACTGGTGAGTGACATAGGTCATAGGTCTCGCCCAAATCTGCCCGCCATCAACACCACCGCGCTGCCGGCACTACCATTGTACACAGCCCTCAGCACCTCAACCCCCAACACCCCTCCCCTGTCCACAGCCCACATCCCAGCCCCGATCTAGGCCGCGACCAGACCCCAGCAGCCCCAATTTGGCCCCGACAAGCCCAGATCTAACCCTAACCGGACCCAAACTGCCCCGATCTATCCCCGACCAGCTCGAATCTAGTCTAGAATAGACCCCAACAGCCCCGATCTAGTTCAGTCCCCAACTTCTGCTCACCTGCAACGGGGTGAACCAGCACGACAATATCGCCGCTTCCTCGAGGGAGGAGACCGGGCAGAAGAAAGGAGGAGGAGAAGAACAAACGATTGAAGTCGACGACGATGGCGGAGAAAGGACCGGCAGAGGCGAGGTGTCATCGCCAATCGCCGGAGTTGGACGTCGCCGCCACTCGCCGGAGTTGAACGACCTTCCTCCTTTTGTGTGAGCACTGGTTCAGACGGAAGAGGAAGGCTTTGGGGTTGCGCAGGAGTGGAAATGAAGAAGCCGAAGAGTTGCGCAAAACTGGAAATGATGGAGCGGAAGATACGAAGGTTTGTTTTAGAAGAAGCAGCGGTGGGTAGTCACTTTTTTGTGAAAACATAATTCAATCATAATTTTGCCTAATAAAAGATGGGAGATAACATTTGTGCCATTATTTCTTTTCTATTTTCTCATTATCTATGTCAATCGAACTTGATAAAGTTTTAATAGACGGAAGAAGTATTCTACAATTCAAATTTCAATAACAGTTCATACTTTTCAAGCATTTTTATTTTTATTATTATTATTATTATTATTATTATTATTATTATTAATTTTTGCATTTTTATTATTATTTTTATTATTATTATTATTATTATTATTATTATTATTATTATTATTATTATTATTATTATTATTATTATTATTATTATACTCCATGACATCTATTACATGACGAAAATAGTATTTGTTATTCTTGTCGTCCCACTTAGATTGTCTAATCTTTCCTTTTCAATCCGTCCTATTAGTATTTATGACATCTATTTTCGTCATGTATTAAATGTCTCATGCCAATTTAGAAAAATTTGTGTGACTCTACATCATCCTTATTCAATTCTTATTTTATCAATTAATATCAATCAGATAACTCACTTTTCTTAATAATTGCGTCACCTTCTCTTATCTCATTGTTACTGGGACAATGGTAGTATCAAGCAAAATATATAACATTTTACATTACGTATGTATAAAAACGTTTTTTAAGTCAATACAAGTTTATATTTAGATATCCTTTAAAAAACTATAAAATTATATGGCATTTAACAAAAATGCCCACATTGCGCCATTGATCTAACAATGATCAATTTAAAATTCAAAAAAACTTGTAATGAAATGCTCTCTTGGTATACTAATAATTAAACATGGACATGTATAGTAACACTAAAATTGGTCGAAATTTATGATTTTTTTGCTGAAATGGTTGAATTTATTGAATCTGCTGAATTAAGCAAAAAAAAAAACAAAATCAAGAAAAAATTACAAGACAAAATCATCAACTTTGTCCTCTATAGTGACTTCAGTCAATTTAGTCAGAAAAGTAATATTAACCTTACTTAATTTTACTTAATTTAGTCAAAAGCTACATGTTTTATAAAATAAGTGACTAATATAACTGAAAAGATTAAAACATGGGTTACTAAATGGGTTTGAAGTTTCTACATGGCGTTTAGGGGAAAAAGTTGGGTATATGGAGTGATGATACCGTGGGCAATATCAAAATTTCCCCTTTGTTTTAGAACGTATAATTCTCCTCAAAAAAACTAGTACTGTACTCCGTAAGAGACATCTTTAGTAAGGTTGATAACAAAGACATTATGAAGAGATGTGTATATGTACTCGGTTTATACATTGCTGTTCATCTTGTAGCTAGCCAGACATGCCAAAAGACTGGCCGAGTGTGGGATATCCCCAGAAGAGAACATGAAAAATTCTCAGAACTGAAGAGTGCAAGACAAAACGACGAATCGAATCATCAACTCAACTAGACCGATACAGAGATGCAAACAAAAAACCGTCCGGAAACCCAATGGTCAAACCACATTCTGGCCATCTTCATTCTGGTCATCCACATTGTGGATGGCATCTTCACGCCTTGGACCATTGCCATAAAAGAGTTTGAGCAAAATCTGCAAGAAGGATAGGATGGTTCCCACACCATTGCTCACCTGCACTTTATATTCCATCAATTAATCACTAATGTAGAAATCATATGCTGCCCAGAGGATTCCATTAGCAAAGCCGTATTAAATAAAACTTACTAAGATAAATACGTCAAATCTAATGCAAGCATATGCTGCCCAGAGGATTCCATTAGCAAAGCCTGAAGCAATGAGCCAACCCGGCAAGTACTTCGCACTCCTGCTTCTGATCACAGTCAGCTGCATTACATTACATATACACAGACGACGTTGGCTTTATACACCAATTTAAATTGAGAGATGGGACGGATCATCAGAATCACTACATTATTATTAATATCAATATTTATATATATGGTCTTCGAACAAACTAATTCAGGAGCTAAGATTATTCGTACCATGACGGAAAGAGGCGACGCGTACAAAATGATCCCGAAGACCACACACAATGATCCCACGATTTTGGTTCTCTTCTCTAAGGTGTGCGCACCCAGGAGGGTCCCAGCAACTATCCCAGAAAGCAAAATCAGTTGAATAAGGAACAAGCCCACCATTCTCGCCTGGAAGATAAACCATTCAAATTTCATGTCCAATTTAGAAAACGTCGTATGTACTGGAAGGAAAGTTAAATAGGTGTTATTACCCGTGTTCTTGAATTGTTGAAGTACAAAAAGACGAGCAGATAGAAGAGCTCCAAGACGATGCCTGCCGCGTTTATGGTCATGACGAGAGTGCTGTGTCGATGGACGAACGGCATGGCATAGAACACCCACATTAAGCAGTTCATCAGCGCCGCGTGGTACGGCCATGGGTGGAAGCCTTCCACTGATTTGTTTTTTATGATTCTGTAAACCGTTGGTCTGCATAATAACGCACGCTGTAAATTGAATTAGAGATTCATTGGGGCACCCTCTCCAGATATTTTCAGAGCAGAGCGCAACTAATTAATACTGCAATTGCGAGCTTAACTAAAACAAGTTACAAATATTTTATTTCCACTGCTCCAATTGAATTTACACACCCGGCAGATGCATAACAGAAATTCAATGTATAAACTCGATAATGATATTGTCAGGGACAGAGCAATTATACGCATTCAATATATGTGCTAGAGAGAGAGAGATTACGCTGGTGAAATAAACAGAGCTGCGGAAACAATGTTCCCTGTGGCAAGAAGCAACAGAGTTTAGCAGAGAATGTAAACTTATCAGGAAAACTCTCACACACATACAGATCTAGAACTTTGAAATTCTATATATCGATCTAAATCTCCGCGTTAATATATAACCAGCACGGAATATACTACTATATATAGCAATTAGTACATTACATTTATATTGCTAGCGCAAATCCTATTCGATCATATATCAACAATCAACCTTCAATCTAAGCAACAACCAAATTGTGAGCCAAATTGTCTTCGCTGCCAACCATTTTCGGTCAAAATGAGTGCAACATACATCAAAAACTTGTTCGCAGTGCTAGCAAACTCTGTTCAGCCACAAGCGGATAGCTAGATCGATAGAAATAAAAATCACGTTTTAACCAGAACTAGAGCACGCTCTAATCAGCTAGCCAGAATGTCTGATCAAATCTCATATCAAAGTTTCAGTCAAATTTTAGTCAAACAGCGGCCAGCAGCTGTATCTCAGCATCAAAGTTTAAGCTAATACATCGATCAATATCAGTTGTGTTACACAGATATATAGGAAGCATTCATGCCAGGCGAGATAAATACATATAAACACACACCGCATTTAAAAGAGATTTAGGGAGAAAGACAGGATTGAAGAGATGACCGATGATGCCGATGACTGTGCGGAGGACAAGGAGGCGGTGATTCATTGCAGCTGGCCGGAGAGGGAGGAGTCAAGCCGGAAATACGCTACTTAACGTGCCGGAGCAAATGAGATTGCTAGTCATGTATAAAATGAAGGGAAGTTTGCGGGAATATAATAATTCTTCTAATTTTAATGGAATAGGAAACCGTTCCGTGGATATATACATACAATAATATTGCATGAGTGTGTATATATTGAGTCTGTTATGGAATTGGCACTCCGTTGCGCTCAAAATTACGGCGACTGCCCCTCCTGATTTCTCGCAACCGCCAAAAATATATGGCCGTTGTGGATAACGGCCGCGCACAACTGCAGCTAGCTAGCTCTCGGATTATACTCGTAATATAAAAAAAATGGACGGCTGGGATGTGCTAAATGGATGGAAATACTCCGGCCAAGTAATGGACATTATTGCGGAATGTATGACATCTACCAGCGTGACATAAAGACGTAGGCACTTGTCTTTGTAAATTGTAATGGGCGAATTACATTTGAAGGATTTCATTATTATTATTGTAGTATTTGAGGTTAAAATTTCTAAAATAGCTAGTAGATTCTGCAGCTTGGTAGTAAGGTACTAAAATAATTTTGTTTGTTATTTGAATATAATATTATTAATGTTGTTGTTGTACTTGAGGTCAGGGACGGATCCAAGGGGGGGCGCGGGGGGCGACCGCCCCCCTTGGACTTTCAAAATTTTCTACTATATATATAATATTTTCATAAAATTTTCATACTTTAATTAGGTATATATGTTTTCGCCCCCCTTAACTTTTAGTTTTCAAAATTAATATATAGGCTCACATAATGCAATGCTCAATTGGAGATTTAAAAGAAGTAGAATATAAAATAATTTACATAACTTAAACAAATAAACAATAGAACTCATTGTTTAAGACTTAGGGTACCAAAAAATTCTTAGTTTTGTAATGTTTAATTACCTTTATTAGATAATTAGTACTCGATTTTGTAAGATATCAAAAGATATTGAATATCAGATACAATAGTTAAATAGTATAAATGTTTGTTGACATTAAATTACACATTTCATTTACCTTTTACTTTCTAAAAACAATTTGTTGAATAGATAATACTTTAACTTATTTTCACATTAATACAAATATAATATGCACCATATATATATGAATTAACATTACTACGTATCATATTATTTTAAGTATAATAATCTCATACATACTATTGTAATATTAAGAAAACTCATCATGACCCACAAATAACCTTCTTGGTAGACAAAAATCTCAATTCAAAAACCAATTCTTTATCCTGTTAAGATTCATGTGGTTAAACAAGACATAAGTTACTTAAAAAGCATTGGTTGATGTGTACCTTTAACTTTAACCACTTTACCTTCAAATAATATCATAAAATGTTATACTACGTATATCATATCCTTTCTTATTTTCAAATAATTTTTCTTTAATTTGTCATTTCTTAAGCTTTAATGTATCAATATTTTTTCTGGAGCACTTGTAGTTATTAAATCAAAGTTATATTTTCATTGTCTAAAATTAGAATTAGAATATAATAGATTTAATTGCCATCGTGTATGTAGTATGTACTAATGGAACTTTTTAAATAAAAATTAGCCACAGAGCCCTACACTAGCGAAAAAATTCGCCCTGCTACACTAGCGATTTTTTTCCCGTTCCGCTTACTAGCGAAATTTTTTCACTCCCTACACTAATGAAAAAATTTCGCCCCCCTTGACTCGAAATCCTGGATCCGTCCCTGCTTGAGGTATACTGTATAGGCGTATACTATTACAATTAGTGGTGAAAAAATTCATTCTAAGCACTTGTTATCATTCAACTTCTCAGTGCTTAAAGGTAAAAACAGTTTTTTTTAAAGAAAATTGTCAAATTAATCTAGGTAGTACTCCCTGTGCTTCATTAATTCTATAGGTTTGGACATGAGTTTTAAGTGAATAATAGTAGCAATAGTATAGAGTGTGAATGGTAAATGAAAAGTAGAAAAGAATATATTAGGAAGAGTAAAGTGATAATTAAGTAGGAAAAAATGAAGCACTATGTAAGAAGTAAAAGAAGAAAAAGCAATTAAAAAACTTAAGTTAGAATGTGTAGGTATATTTATCTAATTAAAAAACTTTCCTAAAATGGAATGAAGGACAATTAATAAAAACAGATCAAATTGGAATAAAAGTGGAATAAAAAGCAGATCAAAATGACAGTTATTGAAAAAAAAAACGGATGAAGTATATAAAAGGGAGAATTGTTAGATTAATTTTCGTACTATATAAAAATGTCAATTAAGATTTCTGAGTTGCGTTCCAAAATCTCCCAATCAAACCCTCGAAGTTGTATGGAATCGCAAATTGGTTATACTTTAGGCATTATTCTTCAAGTTTTCCATTTGATGGTTTGAATGTTCATTTTTTTCGTTGTTAATAAATATAGGGAGATTTCTCTAAGAGTAATCTTCCGGTCAGGTATACCTGACCGGAGCCGCCGTCCGGTCTCCTCCTTTTGGGGGCCTTCCCGGTGGTATTTTTTGCTCAAATTTTTTGTGTATGTTCCTCATCAAGTCTCGTTCATCCATACCAAATTTCAGAGAAAAATTCAATCGGGAAGGTCGTCAAATAATTTTTGCAAGTTAACTGGTCCGGAATATGTATTTTCCGAACCAGTTAACTTGCAAAAATCATTTGACAACCTTCCCGATTGAATTATTTGCTGAAATATGGTATGGATGAACTAGACTTGATGAGGAACATACACAAAAAATTTGAGCAAAAAATACCACCGGGAAGGCCCCCAAAAGGAAGAGGCCGGACGGCGGTTCCTGTCAGGTATACCTGACAGGAACATTTGTGTTTCTCTAAATAGGACTTACTAAAAGCAAAAATGCAACAATAGGAGCTTAATGTTTAAATTCCCAAAATAGGACTAATTCTTCCTACTCTACCCTTTCCCTTGTCAATCTTAATATGTTTTTTTTTAAAATAAAACATAAAATATAAAGATAAAAATGTAAAAAGTAAATAAAAAAATATACAGGCCTCAACCACCACCTTCCAGCACCGCCACCTCCGGTCGTAGGAAAAGAATGCCAAGTTCAAAAAAATGTCATCGTGATGGCAATTTTGAAAAGAAAATTAAATATTTTCAAAGAGTAAAAAATGTCATATTCATGGCATTTTCATTGAAATGTTCCATTTTTACATAAATGGCATTTTTTCGGTGATCAAAGTTGGTTGTGGTGGAGGTGGAGGATGTGGTGGCAATGGCCTACATATTTTTATATATTTTTAGGTACTTTATTTTATGTTAAAGATTTTTTAGGTTTTTTTAAATGTTTTTTTATTTTTTTATTTTATTTTATTTATCTTTTCCCATTTTCTATTATTAATTTATAATTATATTTATTATAAATAAAATCATGATTTTACTATTAACAAAATAAATCTATTAGAGTTTATGTAAAGGAGTAGAATAGGAAAAAGAAATATATATATATATATATATATTACTTCTATTATGGAAATAAAAGTATTATAGCTCTATTGTTAACATTTAAGAGTACTTTTAATTCTATTTAGGTCTGATAGCCAATAAATTTACTCTTTTGTTGATAGTTTTCTTCATCTAGCACATCTTTTATCCAATCTTCTTTCTTATAATCCCCCCCCCCCCCCCCAATGATAATTTCTCATCACATGGAAAAATTAAGATTTGATGATAAATATATCCAATCTTTTATTCCAATAGTCTTCTTTTTAATATATTGATTATCAAAATGTAAAAATGAGAACAGTACAAACGTGGTAGAAGAGAGATGCATACATATAATCGATGGTGGATCCAGGAAATTTATCTTGGGGTCATGGACATAGTGACATATTTAGAACATTTTATAAATAGTGATCAACTTAGACTAGAACTTAGTCACATATATCTCACAAATAGTCAAATAGCAAATACATTATTAATGTTGTTTGGTTAAACTTAGTTTAAATTATAAATGTACAAGTATATATAAAAAGAAGATCAATTCATATCACGTATGAGGAAAGATGAAACTGTAGATAAAATTTGAGAAAATTGCCTAAAATAGAAATTAAACATAACAAAATTAAGTGAATCTTTTATCGCTTTATTCTGTTAACAACACTACATAAATCTTATGTTCAGGAAATAAAACACTCTTAATTCTATGTCAGATTTTTTTTATGTTAAACTCATATTTTGAGCAATTTCCTATATAACTTTGGGTTATATAAGGAATGGTTGGAGTGGGGGGGGGGGGGCAACTGCCCCCGCAATGGATACTCCATCGTTGTAGTTAAAGTATTAAAATAGTACATGATAAATATATTATTACAAAAAAGTAAAGTTAATACATTAAAGTTGTTTGTGACATTTCTCCAAATAGATAAATCCCTCAATCACAATGACGGCTTCGCCGACCCTGGGGTAGGAAAAAATCGGGAAAGATAGAGAGTCGAAAAGTTGCTAAGTATAGATTAAGTAGAAAAAATGACAAAGTAAAGATGTTTTCTTTTGGAATGTTTTCAGTCCCAGACCAGACCAGATCATACCAGACTTCCGTATTTATAAAATACACAGAGACCAGACCCATTCAGATGAGACCAGATCAGATCAGACCAGACTAGCAAATTTCAGTCCAAAAGAAAACATCCAACACTAAGCTTAAGAGTATATAAATGGTGATCAAATAATATAGTGACATGTGTAAAGTCTAAATGGTAAGAAAATAATCACTGTTGAGGCCGTATACCGTGCAACCGGTGCATGGTTAGCACCATGCACCCATGGTTGTATGAAATGTAACTCGTGTGATTCGAGATGTAAATTCAAGTTAATCAAAATGTAAATTGCACTCATTCACATGTAACTCGTTGAAATGTAAACTGCTTTTATTGAAGTGTAACTTGGGGAACAAATTAGATGTAACTTGGCATATGTAACTTTAGTCTTTTGAAATGTAAAACGCTTTTACAAACTCCATGTATTAATTAATATATACACACACTCCATATATATATAGACACACACACTCATGCTTGGTCAGAAATCACAGATCATCGTTGCTTTCTAATCACACAAGGATGAGGAGAAGTTGGTTCCAGGATATGAAAACACTAGGG